ATTCTTAATATATAGTATATTAATATGTACAACTAAAATTACTAATAAAGATATGAGCAAGGCCTCACCTTAACACCTAAAAAAAAAAAAAAAAAAACGATTTAATTAGATATGAAAAATGTATTAACAAAAAATCAACTTTGATTATACAAATAACTTAAGATGTTATTATATTATTAACTTTTGACTTTCATATAATTTTTGTATAATGACATTGTAATACTGATATGTTAACCAATTATATTTAATCTAATGATTAGAAACAATAACCAATAAAACAAACTTTTATTATAGTGTAAAATAAAAATTCTTAATTAAAAACCAATTCAAAATATTTGTCTAATTATACAATTTTAATTGCAAATCAATTTAGATAGTTCTATATTTATAAAGCTATGTATTACATATTAGTTTCTTCTTAACAATAAAATTATTTTGATATTTTTGCCTATAATAGAACCTTTTTATAATTTGTTTAAATAACTATGAACTTGTTTCTCTACAAAATTTATTTCTGTTCAACAATATTTACAAAAGCATTCAAATATAAATACTTAGTTACAAAAATCACATATTCAACTCTTAGATTTAAATAATATATTTTAAAAAATTTCTCAAAAAACATTGCAAGGCATTTAACAAAACATCAATAATTTTAAAATTACTAAACAATTAGAAAAAAATGAAATTACTAAAAAACATATGAAATTCTAAATAGTATTCTTATTTGAAATAAGACAAAAAAACCACAAACTAATAAGCTATACTACACAATAAATAGATTTTATTAAATTTTTTTAATTTTCATATTTCATCATCTTGTACATTAATAAAATCTGTTATACACCTTTAATATTTTTTTAAAAAATAAAAATAAAATAAAATCTGTCATATAATTAGTAAGGCAACGTTGTTACCATGTAAAAGCACCCTTTATTAAACATTTTGCATTTGTAAAATTAAGAAATAACAGATATTACGGAAGGAATCAAAAACGATTTTCTGTAGGTTTTACTTAAAAATTTTATAAAAAAAACCTCTGCACTATGTTTGTAATTAGACTTGCATTTGACACCCTAGTACGATATGTACCATCTATTCCTTTAGCACATCATAACAGATTAACGCTTTATATAGCAATTTATATGAAAGAAAGCAACACATGCACACTTGTAATACAGACCTGATTTGTGATTGGAGTTACCTAATATGAATAACGTGATGTTATTTCAACATACATTTTACTAAGTTTGGCCAATCACACCTATTCTAGAGTTAAACTTACGTGTCTTTCGTTCTCAAATATCTTTTTTTTTCCTTTGTTTTGACAACTGTTTCATTAGAACAACTCGTTGATCTGTTTTTTTTTAAGCTTGAACCGTCTTAAACTATCTGAAAATTCTCAAATTTTAAATAAACTATTTCTCGCCTATGAGACTATTCAAACCACAACGTAATTGTTATATATATAGTTAGATCAATTGGTTTTCCAGTATGATCAATTTACAACATGATAACTCAACTCGTCGTGAACAGAGACTTGATTTATCAGTGGTCCCAGGGAAAAATATTGGCTGGTTTCGCTTGGGTATGTTAAACGATCGATTCAAATTTCAGCAACTTGTCTATTCCTTAATATATGATCACAAAAAAAAAATTATACTTATTCTGATCGTTTCTTCAGGAACGTCGGTATGGGACATTATAAATTTTTTGAGAGAACAATCTAGAATCATTCCTTCTGTAGACTTGAAATATACTGATGAGGTGTTAATATAATTGATCGGATATGATTTTCCTTTTTTTTTAAGGAAAAAGTTGTATATTTACATAAATTTTTTTTTTTTTAAACCTGATTATACAAGTCTCCAATCATGACAGATTTATTTCTCTCATTACCGGCAAATGGAATTAATATGCGTTTCGATGGTCCAACCCAGAGATTAAAATCAATCGAAGTAAATGATTTCTCAAAATTACGATTAACCTATCAGGATAGTGAAGTTAGGTATACCTCATGAATTAATTTATAAAATTTTTTCTAATAACTTGATTATATGGTATTTATATTTACTTATATTATATATTATTTTATTTTATCTAGTTCTAATAAAGTTGCACCAACTTTTCTTTCGATTTATAAAATTTTTGGGTAATCATTAAGTCCTTTGTTTTTTTTATATATTTAGTTCTGTTTAATGATCATTATTATTAATATAATATGACTTTTAGTCCTACTTACCCTGGGGAATTAGATAAGACAAAAAATGAATATACGTTAAGTTATCCGGTTAGTTGCAATAGATAAATCAATTAAAAAATAATGTTATAAACTTTTTCATAAGATGAAATTGTAAAGATAATTGTTTCAATTATTTTAAGGGTGTATCATTTGTTTTTCCTATTCCTGAAGAACATATTTCTTTATTTGTTTCCTCAACTGGTAGGAATCTTATCAATTTATGAAAAAAAAATTTTTTTTACATCAGAAATTTTAAGCTGTACTATCACCCTTTATAGATCTTCCTTTGGAATTACCTGATGGCACATCTCCTTTACTTTCTCGTCTACACACTTATCATGGTGCCAATTTTCGCAACGTTACAGCGCCTCCGTTGCTAAGGAATGCCAACCCTGAAAATATAGGATGTAATGGGGATCTTGGTGAAGTTGAAAGTATTGTTGCTGAGGTACAGAATATTAAATATTGTGTTGTTTGTATATTTTATAATGTAATAATTGTGGCTAATTATTCATTAATCATCCATTCATTTGATAAGCTAAAACGTGGTATTACTGTGAATTTTTTGGCTAGAAATAATTCAAATCAAATCTCTGTCGAAATACTTTTGAATGTGACCACACCACAGGATCTTATTGTCGATATAGGTTCTCCTCTCAGAATATTTTACAAGGAAGAAGACAAAATGCGAATACATTCAAAAGATATTGGCAATGATAGTGCTGAGGATGGTGATATTACTTCTAACAATACATTGTCTAATGGTGTAGAAAATCACGTTCAGGAAGGAGGTATGATATTTTATAAACATTTACCATTATCAACATTAATATCTAATATAAATGTTTTATCATATATAAGATATGGGACATCCAATTGATTATTTTTACAACTATTTTCATCTTGGATTTGATGTATTGTTTGATGGTGTTTCACATCGTTGTAAGAAAATAATATTGCATGGTAACGTGCCTGGTCATTATGATTTTCAAAGGTGGTTTATAATATTGCATAATTGCTTTCAAACCATTTTTACTAGATAAGATAATCTAATTTCATTGCTGTTATAGATATAAACGTTGTCCTTATAAAATATTATTGCAACAAAAAATAACTTCAAATTATGATGCTGATAATGAAGGTTTGTTTTGAATATATTTATTTTGCGCATATATACGTGGGTACTAATCTGATTTATTTTTATGATTAGTTGCTAAACTAGAAGTTTTTGGTGAAGATGATGATATTCAATCAACATCGGTGTCGACCCAAAATGGAATTAATTATATTTCATCAGAAATGAAGGTATGAATCATATGACACCTGCGAATGAATATATACATGCTCTGATTCTGAACTTAATTTATCAGATCGATAAAATTACTGAGCTCATAGGACCACCCTCCGGTCGGCCGTTAATTTTTAATCGAGGGGCCGGTGGTCAGAATCCATTTGGTCCAACTGAATTAAGTGGTTATGATGGTGCTGTATTTGAGGTTTGTATTAAGTGTAATTTTGATAATTTTGATTTTGCATTATATTTGGTTAAACATTATTATATGTATAATAAGGTAATGAAAAATGGACATGTGGCTACCATCACTTTGTTCTAAGAACGATTCCGTCTTAAAGTAACTATATGTTTGGATCAACCTTTTTTGGTGTATTATAATGAAAGCCTTTAATATTTTTTGAAGTAATTTGTAATGATAAGTTATTTAATTATTAAATAGTTTGAATTAAAACATGTATTTAGAAATAGCGATAGAGTAAAATATTATAACAAACAATTACGCTTAGTGTGATGAACTTTACTTAATAGGTTGCCTAATTATTGATAAACATTTTTAATATGATTTAAGACAATTGTGACAGGAATTTTTTGTTTAAAAGTTGTTCACAAAATGATATTTTTTAAATCATTAGGTTGAACATAAAAATATTGACGGACGCATGTTAAGTTTTCATAATGTCAAATAGGTCATAACAAAGAATGTCAATTTTTTTTTTGGCTCGAAATTTTTTTTGATGAGAATATTCTTTTGTACGATTCAAAATTTTTACAATAGGAATGAGAATAAATAAGGAAATTCTCGTGAAACAAAATCTAAAATTTTTACAAGATATACACTAAAATTTCGTGAATCTATTAAAATTTACATCATTTGTACATGCTGTATATGTGAAGGATTACCAGGACCAAATCCTCTAGCACCTTTATATTTAAACTCAGTATCCCCAAAATTAACCTCCAATTCGCAAGATCCATCAGCACCAATAGATGGATACCAAGTGTGCTTTAATTCACTGAACGCTACACCTAAGAATTTTCCATTTTTTGTGAAAAATACTTCACCATCATCAGGTCTGTATCCACAACCAATTGTATCGCCTTTACCCCATGGTAGAGCATACTCGGCTCCTCCATCAGGATCGCCGCTATTGAATTTTCGACCGTCATCGGAATGGTATGCAACAGAGTATACATGGTATCCAGGAAGCCTAGAAATATGAAATTTAGCACATCTTTCTTACGTTGTATTTTTAAAAGTAAAACGCATATATACATATATATATGTATATATATATGTATATATTTATTTGTATATATATGTATGCATGCATGTATTTCACCTGAAGTATGGATAGGGTTTTGTGGTCAAACCGACTGATATAGTGTTTACTTGACTCGAAATTGACTTTACAGTAACTTCAAAATAATGCATCATTTCATCAAATCCCAAATCTCCATTCATAATAAATGGATAGTTTGTTTGTATCATAGATTCAATATTTTTTTCAGTACTCTTAAAAAAGAATTCTACCCATTTTCCCTCACGTGTAACTTCACTATGTCCTCCTCTTTCAAATTTCCAAGCTGAATAACCCTTTTTACCCTGTATTTCTTTATAGGGTGGTAGATCTTCATTAGGAGGATGTGTTCTAATATACTCCATAGCTCGTTGATAAACATCAGTAGTAACATCACTTTTTTTAGGTTTAGCTTCTTCTAACCAAGTTGATTTCCTTCTTCGTTTCGGTCTGCATATGGTAGGAACACAGAGATAAAGTACTAGCATTAAAGCTATTACTACTACTGCGATAAAGACTAACCACAATTTCATACATGACATATTACAACTATCGATAATAAAAGTTGTATTTGAAGGTGTGGAGTTAGGGGCAGCGGTAGTATCATCGAAATATAGGAATGGCTTATCATTATCGTTTGTAGGGTTTGTATGAAAAGACTCCATGTTACCAGAATCACTTGAAAGCTTATCGTCAATCGATATTACAAAGGATTGAAGTAAAATAGTGAAGATTATAATAAGCAAAATATTTAATAACAAGATACGAGAATTAACTAAATTATGATACTTTAAAATGAATTGGTAACATGAATTCATAATTTTTTTTTTTTTAAGCAAATGAAAAAAAAAATATATATTTATAATATTTTTTATTTCCAAAGATGAAATGAAATTAGATTCATTGATGATCCTAGTTTTTCTTGGCGTAATGGTAGTTCGAACCAAGTATTAAAAATTAAAAAAAAATATAAAAATTTACCGTTACTTTTTCTTTTCGTTTCTCACACAATAAATAAATAATAGTGGCTGAGTCGACCGGCAACTACCACTTTCTTACTTTGCCTCATTCAAAAAATCAGGCTTCATAGAAACTATTACTACTATTTTAACCATTTATATAAGCGACAAAACCGGGGTTATCCTGATATTTACCAATATCAAGTTACTATTAACGTAATACTTAACGTCATGTGTTAACATTGTATAATTATTGTTAACCAATTTCAAATTGATAAAATGTAATTGTTATTATCGTTATTGAAAATTTTTTCGCGAAAATCGCGAACATTGTTTGTTTAGAGGCTTATTTTTGACATCGTCAACAAAACATACATAAAAATAATAAATGAATAAACGAATCGATAGAAAGTATAGTTACAAAGCGTGTTAATTGGTTTTTCTTTCTGATTATGAAATCAAGGTAAATTAAACCAAAGAATAAAAAGATAATAGTTTGGATGCTCACCTTGATCCGGGTGATTATATTGTACATGCGTGCGCACTTAAGAAGTCTCTCCCCGGATAACTTTTACACATTAATTCTGTAGTATTGTCAATCGAGCATTAAATAACGGAAACTTTATTATTATAGCAATATTCTTGGAGCTATACTTTTGATCCGAAAGTCGCAGAATATTTGAATGTCCGAAAATACAATTTCTCACTGAATCTAATATTCAAATAAATATCCGGTATCTAGGTTTAATTTGTCCTTTTTTGATGTATATAATATAAAATTAAATACGTATATCATACTTAGAGCGTAGCGGAGGACTTAATGGTAGAGTCATAGACCAGATTTTGTGCGTACTTATTTCTAGATTAGATGATTTAATGGTAACGAGCTACCCTAGTATGACCATGAAAGATCGTTGCAGGTGCACCAACCAGATCTCTTCAGGCAATCGACACTCTATGAAACCACCTTCTGCGCACTAATATTAATTCTCCGCAAAATTTTGGTATATGATAAGCCCTACTTCGGTCATAACTCTAACCCTAGAGTAACGTCCAATGTTACACAAAAGGTCATGTATTTTCACATGATAATTAGCCAATCAAAATCATAAGTTTTAAAAGAAAACGAAATTAATTACATATATTTTGCCACCAAGTAAGCAAATGTGTCTTTATTTCGTTTATTAATTAAATAATAAACAAACCTTGAATCATTACAATATATAGAAAAACCAATAATCAATGTCTAATTCTATAACAAATATAATCCAGAACCCGATATTATGCACATATTATTATATAATCTTTAATATTCGACATTACATGACTCTAATACTCAACATTTATGCTATTGTAATACATAGATTTGCTTTGAACTTTTAAAAGATTTATTTATGAAGATTTAAATAAAAGATCGTGCAAACTAACACATTACCCTTGTTGAATCGTTGCTTTCAACTTTTCTTTGATTTTTATCACCCAGGCATTCAAAATTTGTAGTTTGGTATTTCGTAATTACTTCCACATATACTTTGTAAAGAAACTTGTCATATAAAAGAATTCAACCGATATTGTTAAAATACAGCACGAAAACTTCAAGTTCACTTAGTAAGCTTGCTCATGTTTCGTAGATACAAAGACTTACACAAGCCTCGTGAAAAAGGTACTTATAAATTACGATCATCATGAATTGTGTAACGCGTTTCTATTTTTAGGTACATTTCCACATGATCGACATCATACTATATATACGTAGCAATTTTTTTCTTCCCACTTCTACATAGGTTCGGGAAAGTTAGGCTGTTTCGGTGATTCCGGTCTACCCGGGTGAATTACTGATCAGTCGTCCTATGTGGTCGCATTTTCAACTTCTCGTTCGTCATTCTATGTCGTCGCTATACTGCGAAGACTACTTTTATGATGTATTTATCTTGATATTTCTTTTTATATTTGTATTTTGATTTATTTCAAGTTTAAATATTTACTATTTTATCTCATTCTTTTTGTTACAGTATCAGGTATGCGATTCTTTTTCTTGTTGGTTCTGATCAAGATCAACGACCCTCGAAAAACCCGTAGTAGCTAGGTTTTCTTATATATCTTGAGAGTCATTTTTATTTTAGCAAGATGACTCACAACTTTATTGATGACTTGGTACTTAATCAATATCGTATTTTATCATTTTGAGATTTTTTTATTTTAAAAAAAGATCGGGAAATAAATAAAATTTAACAAATAATCGAATATACTATTAATTTCGATGTTTCCTTAATCTCTTTCTCTGGAGATTTAATTTTTTCTTTCAAATCCATGATTTTGACTCCTTTGGGTCACATGATACAAACCTCCTCGTGGTGTAACCTGGACATTAAGCGATTTACGTTTGATGACCACAATTACTGTACGTATAAACTTATTACTAATAATGGTTAAAGAATTATTATACGAAATAGTTAATATTTGTATATCGTAAAAATGTGTACAAGGTTGGCAGCGCAGATATCCTGAACTACGAATCAGATTTCAAGATTAGGTGTAACGTAACACGATCAGGAAGATTCAAAACAAACGTTCGTTCTGCCAAAAATTGCTCATGGCACAAAAATCAGCATAAGAAACCGCCCTTTGTGCTCTAACAAAAAGTTTTCATTGAACAATTTTACTATATAAACTATCCTTCACTAGATCGTAACTTTGACCCTAACCTAACCTTAACGAATTTTAATAATTTAATTTTCGCTGCCAACCTTGTACACATTTACGATATGCATATTTGCAATAGTTAATATTTGTAATTTGTGCAAATTTAAAATCTAAGCGTTCCCTTGTAATTTTGACCAATCGAAATTTAAGACCATGTATAATGTGATAGTCAAAACAAACTTGTTTTCTAAATAAAATTTTACGTGTAAAATTAAATATAAGAAAACCGCGTTATAGTTAGGGTTATGGTTAGAACAATGTGACGGCTATTGGTAGAATTTCACGAAAAAACATTTTAATTAGGTCGCAGAAGGTGGTTTCCTAATAAAAATTTAGAGCTATTCTCGTTTTTTTTTGTAAAAAAAGTGGGACCATTTCGATTTTTACGTCACACCTGGTCTACAATTTTTGTGGGAGTGCATATCCGTTGACCGGTAGATTCAATAGATTTCGCGGTTTGGTGGCGATACTGGGGTAGTTGATATGGGAAAAGAAAGGAGACAAAAAAAAGCACGTCTACTTCTTGACAGATATCAGAAGGCACGTAAAACTTTCATAGGTATAGGTTAAAATAGTGGCGTGACGATCGTAGGCCTTCTTGGCCTTTCATTATTCAAGGCTTTTCGCCGAGCCGCAAAACCAGTGTTAGAGCACAAGTGACCTTCTCGGTTACTTGCAGTTTTAGGGTATGTTTAGGTGTATCAAAAGTAAGTGCAGAAGTATCAAAAAAGTAAATGCAGAAGTATCAAAAACGTAAGATTTGCCACATTCTATGTAGCATGCCGATAGCAACATGTAAGGTGTGGAATTTATTCTAACATATCGAGAAAATCAATGCCGAAATAGTTTCTACGAAATGCCTCCCGGCAAGTGGACAAGCGCGTGGTGCACCTTTTTGACTACGTACTAAATTAGAAAGAATACCAATATTTGTTTGGTATGTAAAAAGATACGCTTTATTTATATACATGACTACAGCATGTTTAAATAATACATATTTAAATATAGATTTCAACTTGCTTAAAAATCAAATGTCATTTTTCATGGTAAATTACTGTACTTTTTGAAATTCTGGATAGCACATGGAAATAAATTCTATTGTCTATTTACTTTATTTCCAAAATAAATAAAAGAATTTTATAATTGTCAACAATTAATCATCATAAAATGAAAAAAGCGTACATAAGTCTACTCCTTGATTCTCCAGTTTTTTTTTTATTTCCAATTCTTGAGGTCGCCATTGTTTTGGTATAGCTTTTCTACTAAGAAATAATCTTTTTAAACTCTTGACTCTAATAGCAAACTCAGATATGACAGAAATATATTGACTAAAATCATAGCTAAGGCTTATGGGATAAATACTAATTGTGTTTAAAGGAACCATACAACATTCAAAAAATTTACTAAATACATCTATCAGGGTTAAATTTCCATGATATTTAAGATGTTTAAGAGATTTAGGTAATTTCTCAGCTAATTCTGAAATACGTGGGCAGGCAATAGCATCTATAATAACCAATGTATGCAAATTTTGTAGGCCGTTAATCCAATTACAAAATGATGGAATATACATCGAACTTTCTATATATATGAACATTTTTTTAATATTTGGGCAATGTTTATGAATTTCTCGAATTATTTCTGATGAGAAATTATTATAAAGAGTAATTGTCCGTAAATCACGACCAGCTTTTGTGAAAATTGCTAAATCTATCTCAAAGTACCAAGAATTATGACGTAAAATTATGTTATTTAAGCGAAATGATGCACCATTTATGATTTCGCAATGTCTAGGTTCTAATCCAGCACAGTATGATAAACTAAGAGTCTTCAGATTATGGAAACCACTTATTATTTGAATTGAAGTCTCGTTAAAATGAACATGTGAAGCAAAAAAAGAAGTTAGAGTTGTAGATTGTGTATCTCTCAAAGATGATAGAACTGTCGGGTTTGAACGAAACGATGTTTGAGAGATATTAAAAGACTCAAGTCCATTTTGCTTTTGAATAAGATTTACTAGTAAATCAGGGTATAAAGAGCTATTCCATAAGATGCGTTTAAGTCCAGTAGAGAGTGATGGCAATTGCCGAAGTAATTCAATACTTTTTTTATATACATTTTCATCATTTTCTTTAAACGATCTTGAAAGTACGTTA